TTCCGGGAGAAGTGATAGGCTCTGGAGAATGAACTCGAGTAAAAGGTTGATGCATAGCGGGCTGTAGTGGGAGTAAAGTGTTGTTGAGGGCACTGGCGCCGAGGCTGCTGGATAAATTGATACTGGAGGTTGGACTGCTGTGAGTTATTCGGCATGACGTCAGGAGATATTGGCCTGCAATGGGCATTTTCTGTTATTTGCATCATTTGCATACGAATAGAAAATCGCAAGTGTCTGAAATTTGTTTCATTGGATTGAGGAGTGAAAGCAAAAACAATCGATCTCCATCATCTTCCTTTGGCTATTCATTTTTCTCGGCATCAATGAGTAGGTGTCTTCCTTTCTAACCTGAAAATGGAAACAGATCCCTTTTCCGAATCGTCGTGTCCTCTATTTCTTAAATTTCCCGACGATGGTAAAAGTCCAAAACCCCAGTAATTCCAGGAATTAAGAAGTCTGAGAAGTTAAAGTATATGTCTAGAAAACCGAGATTAATTCCCGCACTATGGCCCTGGGGCCGACTCTGCCTGTAACAGAAATCAGTACCAGGATCTTCCTGTAGTAAAGTTTGGCCGGTGCGTATGTTTAATAACCTCACGGCCATCTGTGAGCCGTTTGTCTAGAAAATGTGGGGGCCTCGACATCTCACAACCCTATGGGCCTGCACGGTCTCTTACAGTGAAAGCTGTATCTTTTACGGGTAGGTTTCCCAAACAGGCTCCCCTTTTGAGGTTTCATGATTAAATTACTTTGTGCATTTCTTATGTCCCATATTTGTTACAATCCCTTTCTTTTTCAATATGTCTATTTCATTTTGTTAATTACTTAATAAAATAGTTAATTCTGCCTTATATATTTCATAGATAGGAAAGGGAATTTCTGTTGCGTCCTTGCATTCTATCATAGATACTTATTTCTTTGAAGGCCGTGTTTTCAATACTCAGCATGACTCATGAAAACTGTGCAGTTTCATTTTCTGTGCGACAATACGACAGTCCCTTCTGGATATGCCCTTTTCACTCCTTCATGCACTTTATTTAATGGAGGATTTCTCTCTAATTTTCAAAAAGTAGTTCGTTCCTCTATTCGTGGAGTCGAAGTTTTCACTACAGATTGAACAGCAGCAATATCAGAGATGAACCTGGCGGGGTTCAGTCAATAAAATGCCCCACATCTTGGCTAGATAACATGGGTTCAATTCCCACCAGAGGCTAGATAACATGGGTTCAATTCCCACCAGAGGCAGTAGCTTTACTTCCTCACAATTATTCATCCATGACTCCCAGAAATTCAGAATCGAGACGTCTTCCCTGACAGGTTAAACGGCCGGAGCCTGAAATTATGTATTCACCCACCTCCAGAAAACACTAAGTTTTACGTCTACAGCCTGCATTTCTTCATGCCGTAAAGTTCACGCACGGAATAAAATTTATGCTCTTGTATTATTAATGCTGTAAAATTGTTTGATTGAAAATAGCGGATGAGAACCTGTCACCCCTGCTGCATATTTGGAAGTTCTCAGATCCAGTCCTGACACGGAGACCGGAAGCCTGCTGTGAGATATATCGTGGTTTTCTTTCATATCTCCAGACAAGTTCCTCTAATATCTCAACAACAAAATTTAAAACTTCTTCCCACATAAATCTCAATATATTATTCACGGTACAATTTGGTGCTGCATAAGCAATGCGATTTAAATGGCTTTGTTAAATGTGAGGATAGCGCAGTAGGAATACTGACTGGTTACGGGCTGAACGGCCAAGGTGTAGGAGTTTGTGTCCCGGTAGAGGCAAGATTTTTCTCATATCCACGTCGTCCATAACGGTTCTGTGGCACACCAAGCCACCTGTCCAATGGTTAACGAGGGTTCTCCCTTCGGGGTTAAAACGGCTAAAGCACTTAGCTGACCACTCACCTGAAACTGATGCCGAGGCCAAGAATGCGTGGATGTAAGCATATACTCCACCTTACGTCTTCATGGACCAGTACTAAATTCGTTGAGCACAGGGTTGATTTACGTCTGTATTTACTTTATCACGAATATATGATTTAACTTGGCAGGTTATTCCTGTGTCATGTCATTAAGATGCATGGGAGCATGAGGTATGGCCCAATAATATACAAGTCTCTATCATGCTGCAGGTATACCCACGTGAAGATCTCCTGCTTCTGGTTAAGCAGCAACTTGGCATTTTGATGCACATTTTATTTCAATACTGGTTAATTTAAAATGAAACGTCAATGAAATTAATTGAAATAATTGACTGGAAACCAGATATCAACAATTTAGACCTCTGACCTTATGCAGCTCTTTGAAAAACTGATAATTGCTCAGCTGACCAAGAAATTGCCTGATTTTCATTGAACCCAAAAGTTGATTGTTTTTTTTTAATAGGAATCCATCACTAGTTCATATCCTGGACCAGTTTAAACCAGTCCGCATCCTAAAATATTATATTTATAACGCACTTTTAAATATTTTCTCATGTCTACACTTAGGTCTTCCAAGTGGGCTCTTTCCAAATCAAATTGTGTGTACACGCCTCATTTCCATATGGATGTTTCTTATGCAATCCATTTATAATCCTAAACAAAGACCACTTTCAGGATACGGATATTTTTGTACATAAAGTCTTAACTACTAAATTAATCGCGAATTATATGTGTGTTTAAGGGTTAATGAAGAATACAGCATTTAGTCTGTTTAGTTTGTTTGTGTTTAAGAACCTCTATTCTCAGAAGATAATTCAAGTTCTACAGAAGAAAAGATATTACTTAGCTGTATGTAACACAATGTTCATTGTTTGTTTTATCTCATTTCCTCCTGTCAAATTTTTACTGGTTAACATCATTGTTTACATTCTCATTTGTTTTACGAAGCTCTTTCTTAATTTTAAACCCTTGGAAGAACAATTAAGTACTCAGTTGCAAGAAACTTTTCCTACCCACTTTAAAGTGCCTCATGATTTTTTTACAGTTGTAATAACAAAAGAAAACGACATGTTTGTTTATCTAGACATGCCTTCTATTGTGAAACCTAATTCCCGTTTTTATTTCGTTCTGTAGGTCTCCTGAAGGCGGGTTATTTTGCTCTGCCAGCGTAGTGTATATATATATATATATATGTATGCGTGGTTTGTACTTTAATAACTTAAGTCTCGCTTGATGTTATGGATAGAGAAAGACACCCAATATGAAAAGGCAAGTAATTTGTGCCGTAGAAACAACCATTTCTGCTTCTTCCATGCTCCAATAGATAGAGCATGTCCATGTAATTTGTCTCGTTTCGTTAATGCTCTCTTTTCAAATTACGATAATTAAGACAATTGTAAAATTTTCTCTCGACGAGGCACTTGATAATGTCTGATTCTGGGTTTTGTCAGTCATGTCTTGTTCTGAACAGAACATAAATTTTCCGAAAATAAATATCTTTCAGTCCTTAGGTAGAAAGGTGGGGAGGCACCTATTCGACCAATTTCAGGAATATATTAGCAGACTTACTAAGATTTCCAATTATTCTCACTTCCTCGATTCAATTTCATAGGTTTTTTTGGAGTAGAATTGAAAGGAAATCTGAGAATATTAAATTTGAAGGGATGGGGAAGGTAAATGGGAAATTATATTTGAGGTTCCGTTCTTGAATTTTACTGCAGGAAGCGAGCTAAAGTCTTTAGTCACTTTTGACGGAGTCGAACCTAGGATCTACTAAACACGAAACAATTTCTCTGAGTTCAGTCACGGTCCCAAATTTTGTAATAAAACATTCAGACGGACTATAAGTAAAAGACTTTTGAATGATATCGACTATTACTCTGCCATGACGGTAGCATATTCCTTGATAGAGTCGTGAAGTTGTCCCCGTACTTAATTAATTAAGCACCATGCCATGAACATTTGTGGGGGAGTGGAGGTATAGCGCCACCATTCTTGACCTCGGAACGCAATGGAGGTGATTGGTCAGCTTCACGTTCTGGCAGCTTTAATCCGGGACAGAGCCCCGGGTACCAATTGGTAAGAGGCTTGGTACACCCCCAAACCCGTTCTGGTCAGTATGTTGTAGAGAAAAATCTCTTCTGCAGGATATGTAGCACGAATGATGGAGAAGCGGAATCATATAGGATATTGATGGGAAGCCAGAAAGAAAGAGACCACTAGGAAGACCAAGGCGTAGGTGGGTGGACAATATTAAAATTGATCTTAGAAAGATGGAAAGGGCTGATATGGACTGAATAGATCTGGCTCAGGATAGGGACCATTGGAGGGCTTTCGTGAACGCGGTAATGAGCCTTCGGGTTCCATAAAATGCTGGGAAGTTCTTGAGTAGCTGCAGAATTCGTGGCCTCTCAAGAGGGTCTCAACTCCATGAAGTTAATTTAGTTTAGAGTACATACTTTTTCGGGACAGACTATATTTATGGTAGGAAGAGATCCCTTAGTTCGTTTGTTGTGCGGTTACTCCGCTTATGATGTCGTGGAGGACTTCTGTGAAGGGGGAAATATGCAGAGGGGGGCGAAGTGGGATCAGAGGGGAACTGGCTGTCTGAGAGCTGAAAACATTTGAAATTACTGGGAGTGTGTAACGATATGATATGGGGAAATTCCAAGTACTTGAATTACTTTAAGAATAGACGACATACAAAAGGACTAAGACTAGAGACGAAACTAAGTTCTCTCTTTGGGTAGTTCTTGTTGTGACACTGTGCAGTGTGAAGTGCAAAGAGAAATAATGCAGTGTACCAACTCTGTAACAATGAATTGTAATATCCATATTTTATAGAATAATTTACCATGATGCTAGAGGAAGATGCGAAAATATTAAGGGAGCGATTGTTCTTTTAGTTGCAAGGATCCTGCAAGTTCAGTTTCATGCTTGATAGAGGTTTCAATATTGACAATCTACACAATTAACTTCAGTATTATGTCAATATACAGGGTGTCTACAAAAGGTCTGACACATTTTGATCTTTAATAATTCGGAAAATAACGAAGAAATAAACTGGTTACATTGTTGGATCGAGAAATTAAAAATTTTGTGTCTATTGTTAATAAAGTTGTACATGTGTTCCATTTGTTGCACGTAAAATATCAAGACGATATTCGATTTCTTGCCAGGTTCGGGCAAGCATACCGACATCCACAGTGGTTAGTGCGTCTCTTACTCTGGTTTTTAATTGATAGATGTCTCTCACCTGCGTCTTATAAGCAATGTCTTTGACATATCCCCAGAGGAAAACGTCCAGTTGGGTTATGTCAGGTGATCTTGGGGGCCAAGAAATTGGACCACCTCATTCAATCCATTTTTCTGGAAAATGTTTGTCCAAAGCATCACGAGCTATGGTGCTCCAATGAGGTGTTGCACCGTCTTGTTGGAAAATGATTTCGGACTGAAGCGCTTCAATTTGCGGGAATACGAAATTCTGCAACATATCTAGATAAATGACTCACGTGACTGCATTTTCCGCGAAAAAGAAAGGCCCAATGACTCGATCATGCATAAGTACACACCACACATTCACTTTTGGGGAGTTTCTTGCCATTTCACGGTATTCAAGAGGGTTCTCTGATCCCCAAATGGGTACGTTATGGCGATTGACTCTTCCAGAAATGTGGAAACAAGCTTCATCAGAGAACAATACGTTTGTAAGAAATCTTTCATCATCCTCTGTTCTTCGTAACATATCTGTTGCAAAAACCGTTCTCTTAGAGTCAATTTTACCGACACACAACATATTTTTATTATTATTACACTACATGTTTCGACCTCAAGAGGTCATCCTCAGGTATACGAACACAGCTGTATAATTACACGCAATCACATTCGTCTTTTCACTTATTCCGTTCTCTTAGGCTTATCATGTGGTTCAATAGCTTGCACAAGTTGCATCTTATAAGCATACAGCCGTAATTTCTTCCGTAGAACCTTGTGTACTGTTGAAACTGGCATATTCAATTCTCTTGCCTCTGTTCTCAAAGATTTCCTGTGACTGGTGCAAATGCTTCTCGGACACGCTCAACGTCATCATTGCTTGTGCTGGGAAGTCCGGAACTTTTCTTACTGACAACACTTCCTGTTTCCAAAAATTTCTTTTTGCAGTCTATGATACTGTTTCTAGAAGGAGGATCTTTCTGGTGATGTGTTCTGAAGTTCCTCTGCGTTTGTGTCACCGATTTCATTTCACAAAACCACACAACTATTGGCGCTCTTTCTTGCGGAGTCGCCATTTTCTCAACAATGAACACTGCACTGACAGCTGAACACGTTCGTGACCTGTAAAGAGGAAAAGAAACTTTTTGAGTTGATCTTTCCATCATTGCTAATGGTTTATTTCTGTCATAGGTATTTCCCGAATTATTAAAGATCAAAATGTGTCAGACCTTTCGTATATTGTGGTGTTTAGACCCTTTGCTGGGCAGAGACCTCGAAACGGACGAGTACAGCAGTTGCTATACAATAGGTGGATACACAAACACCCGTTTCTAAGCAACGGCTCTGTAAACATGTTCTCACGGAAAAGATATCCAGTTTATCACTGGGCAACCGCCATGACAACAATAGGACTTTTGGAAACGGTGTTTTCAATTCGGTCCGTGCAAAGTGGTTATAAGGAAGGCAATTAAAGAAGGGATTCGTCAGTTGATGGGAGCTGTTATATTCGTCCCGCAAACCCCTCAAACGTGAAAATATCTTAGGAAACTATACGTAGGTGGCGAAGTTATGAACTGCATTCAACTGGCTTAGTATAGAGTGCGATTAGTTACTTTTATGAACACGGTAGTGAACAGTTGGAAAATCCCTTTGATGAATTGCGTAACTATCGAATGCACAAAAGAGTAAGGTTCTTTTATTGTTAGTGGGGTGGGACTAAGTCCCTTGTACTGCGGCCATTTCTGGCCTATTTTACCAGCCCCAGATGATAGGTGAGGGGTGATTGTGGAGGAATTGGTGGAATGAAGATTGGCAGGGGAAACCGAAGTACTCGGAGAAAACCTGCCCCAGCACCACTATGTCCACCACAAATCCCACTTGACCAGGCCCGTGATCGAACCCGGGCCGCCGCGGTGGAAAGCCAGCAACTAACCGCTTGAGCTATGGCGCGCCCTAAAGAGTAAGTTAGGAAGTTGGTAGGCTGACAGACACCGAGAAAGAATTAAGAAAGAAAATGTATTTCTGAACAATAATTACTGACTTTTTGAACATTATTCACTGTACAGTTTTTCAAACGAACAAGAAGTCCTGGGAAGAACTAATCGCCTACTTTTTCTTGATAAGACATGGATCATATAGAAGAAGGCGAGTCCAAATTTTTTTCCTTTTATTTCATGTGTACTCGTTGCCGCGGTAACATTCTTCTGGAGCCGTTTCATAGCAACGTTAGGGGATTACACATACATAAACTTAGACTGGTAGGAGTATGCCGTTGATATGGGCTTAGGTTCCATGATATACATACCAACTTTCATAAATACTGATTCAGCCTTTTAAAAGGTGATGGGTGGACACACACACAGACAAGGTAGTGATCGCATAAGCACACTTTTATTTTCTCAAAATAAGGAAAGTATGTTAATAAAATCTTGGCGTGGATAATGTTCAAGAAGTCAATGTCTCTATTAATATACCATCGCTACAAACTTTAATCTTACTTTAATTATGTCTGACATATTGCATGATTAATTGCAGCTTTTCACTTAACGATAAACGTATGAGTATAAGTATTTCTATGTTAGCAAGCATAACTCCATGTTTGTTTACGGGAGGAGAGAAGATAAAACTTCAAACTTTGTTTATTTGAGCACTAAATGGAGGTCGGCTTCAGGTTCCAGACACTTTACTCTGCAACCTATCCATCTCCTGTCATAATGGCTTCGGTACATATTGTACCAGCGTAAAGAAATACCCAATATCAACCTTGTACTTACGCATACAAGTGCTTTACATAGGAGGGAGAACCAGCAAAATGGTCATAAATCGATATAAAACGTAAAACATGAGATATTCGAATCTGGGGGAAAAAATATAATATTTATATCTCGGACATATCCTCCACCAACAGATATATTTGACCCATTGCTTTATCAGTGCGTCGAAACCGGCCGCATAGAAACCTTTTGACTGTTGTCTCAGCCACTTCCGCACCTCCGTTTGAACCTCTTTGTCACCAGCAAAACGTTTGCTACCAAATCGTGAACCGCTTTAGGCTGCAAATGCTTCTCACCGTAAAAAGGTAATATTTCTTTATGAATATGATTTGAATTGAGTCCCTTTACTCAGAGAAAAGCGCAGCAGAATGCTGCTCTTCAGTAATAGAGTTCTCAAGTACGGTCGCCATTTTGACTACTAAAACTCAGCCTCTGAATTTGAGCATGCGCTTCTGCTACCTGGACACTAAAGATGCTGGGCTATGCTGGTACCTAGTGATATACATAGAAAACCTATTACAATCACTGAAGATATTTTACGTCCATTTGTGACCTATTTACTGTCTCTCCCTATAATAATAATAATAATAATAATAATAATAATAATAATAACGGAGAATTATACGTAATCTCTTGACATATTTGCATTTTAGAGAACTGAGCATATTCTCACGTGTATTGGGGTACGCGTGACGAAAGTAACGGGTTGTAGTCACGATTATTGGATTTATTAGCACTTCGGTTATTCTCTCTTAATTATAGCTAATACAGCGCTATCGCTGACTTACACACTTTTCAGTTCACCGTTACACACGCACTAGAATTCTCCGTCTTCACTCGTCATCACCTGGCAACGGATCTCAACACAGAAACTATAATGTTCTCACTGTATTAAACACTCAAGATATTACATATAAAGTCTTTTCTTCACAGCCGCAACCTTTCAACTAACTCATAGCTACACTGCACTGCACTGCACTCTGCCCTACTCTAATCTAAGCGAAAGTCAAAATCAAAGTCACATTGTGACTGACGGTCAGCTAGTCAGTAAGTCTTGGTGTCGAGCCCCATCTGGGGCTCATAACGAGATATTTATTATTGTTTAATAGTTACAGTCTTGTTTTTGTGGGATGTCCTCCCTCACGAGAGGACGGGTCTGTCTTTTGTACATGCAGCTGGTCCTCGCCAGGGCAATCTTCCTCGGGTCCGAGTGCCTTGGACTCGCGACCATATTTTACTGTCTCAGATTTGAGACTTCTCTTTTCCGCACGAACTACACAGAAACAAGTCATGTGATTCCTAGCCAGTGACTTATTGTTGCCCTGACTGTTGCCATGCAACGAGCAATAACATCCGTCTACTGAGACACATGTTCCATTGTTGCACGTTGACCGTGTTTACCGAGCCGTTGCCTAGAAACGCTGTGAGCAAAGCCGTCACAATATAAAAGCCTCTCTCTCTCCTTGTGAAGAAATTTTCAGCACTATCCATAAGTGAATGAAGCGGCGCGTCTGACGTCCCGTGTGTCAGTCTTGTGAAAACTTTATAGAGCTAGCTCGCAAATTCAAATTTCCTGTTCGGTGTCAGCAGCTTAATCAATGTGTGTGTGTGTGTGGAATACACATTTGCGGAAGCTCGGTTGGGTATTTGATTGAAAAACCATGTTATATACCTTTCACATGTCAAAATGTTGAGTTGAGATTATAATATTCCACTTCCTACCAATTATATAACCTTTTGATGGGGATGCTACTCAATTGTATATTTCTGTATGCTAAAACGTACAGTCATTTTCTTTTAAAACTGGTTTCCATTCTGCATATGGATATTTGTGGCAGATGAAGGTATGCATTTTTTGTATAGGCCTATGCATGTGTGTAGAAATTCAAGAAATATATGCCCTGCCAACAGAGACTTTTTTAACAATGATCTACTGGCATACAATTGTTTTGCGACTCAGATATAATGAAAGACTACGTTACATATCTAACGCTCCATGGTTCGTATGAAATCAAACTCTCCACGAAGATGTTGGAGTTTCCTATATAAATGAGGCCATAAACAAACAAGCCATCAAGTACAGAAACCGCACTGTGGACAATGAAAACCGACTGATAAAAGAACTCGCCTTCCAACCTTTAGTGAACAGAAGACTCAAACGTCAATGGCCAGAAGACCTATTCTAGGTAACGGAGGATAACCCATCAGTGGATGGTACTCCCTACAAGCCACGCAACGCTCTAACATTTGCTTATTACTCTGTATTAGTACATTATGAGCAGATTGTAAATATCCTAAAATAAATAAATAAATATAAATAAATATAATGAGTAGAAAACTGCGAGGCATGTGAGTTAAGGCTTCACATGTTTCGATGCTGATGTTAAGCTTTCTTTTCTACGTCATATCACCGTGTAAAAATGAATTGTATTGTCGACGTTTCGGAAATTCTATTTTAACATACAAGGCGAAGAACAGGACTGTAGGGGTATCACAAATGAACGTTTCTATAAGATTCCATCACTGAAAAGCAGGATAATAATAATAATAATAATAATAATAATAATAATAGTAAAGTGTCATGCTTCATAACTTGTACTCTTCTCCAAGTATAATTAGAATGATAAAGTCATGGAGGATGAGGTGGGCAGGTCATGTAGCACGAATAGGGGAGGCGAGGAATGCGTATAGGATATTGGTGAGAAAGCCAGAAGGAAAGAGACCACTGGGAAGACCAAGGAGTAGGTGGGTGGACAACAGTAGAATGTATCTTAGAGAGATAGGATGGGATGATATGGATTGGATTGATCTGGCTCAGGATATGGACCAGTGGAGGGCTCTTGTGAACACAGTAATGAACCTTCGGGTTCCATAGAATGCTGGAGAATTCTTGAGTAGCTGCAGAATTGGCGGCTCCTCCAGAAGGGCTCAGCTCCATGAGTAAGTAAGTAAGTAAGTAAATAAAGTGTCATATTTGGACATTAATTATCTCGAATATGGATATAATTTATTTACGTCTCAACAACCAAACAGCGAATTTAAAAATAGAATATTTTTCGAAATAAATACCAACATAATGATTTTTAATATATGACACATACCTAGCAAATTTTTTTAACTTTTATCATTAATAACAATTTTAATATATATAGATAAGAGTACGTCTGCTTGATTCTAAATGAATTACAGAACTATAATGCTTGCCCATTATGTATAAAAAGAAGGGACTAAATATGTATTATAATATGATAGCAATTACTCCTATTTATTTATGTGCTAACTGAATAGCCTAAGGGTAATAATAATAATTATTATTATTATAATAATTCAGTTCTTCATTATTTATGT